TCTTTCGTGACACTGCAGCATACAGTTCACATGCGTACTCCTTAACTGAGCGTGTGTCCACCGCCATGTTCCGTCGCGCCTGACGCACCAAGTAGCTCACAAGTAATTTTTCCGTCTTGAGAAGCACCTGTAGACTTTGTGATGTTCATGTGCTCCTTTATCTTGGCTGCATCCTTCTTTATCGTCCGGATCGTAGATTCGTTCACACCATGCTGGCGCGCCAAATCAACCTGTCTTGTTCCTTTCTCCAACTCTTGGATGATCTTGTACTTCACCTCGTAGCTTAAGGAACGTCGTGTCTTCTTTGGCTTAGTGCGGCTGGGTCCAGGTAAGGAAAGGTTTCTCTCTGGGGGCGGTGGTCCGGCGGAAGCCATTTTACAGAACAATGGATGCACGTTTACACGGTATGGCCTGGAGGGATGAAACTGCCGTGGCTAAGTCAAGCGTCGTCTTACCTCCCTCCCTCCCGCGGGTGGACACGTCATATTACTTTAAACCAATCACAGCTAGCAGCGGAGGGAGGTAAGGATGCATGGCCAATTACAGCCCGATACGTCATATGACGTCACTGATAACGCAACAAAGACACACACTGCGCAACCTACTCGCGCCGCTTACACAACATAGCGGATGGCGGGAGAGATGGCAGGAGGTTTGGATTAAAAAATGGCGCCGCTCACCAGCCGCTCTCCGCTTAAAGGGGTACACGCACCGCGGAATGTGAGCATTCCGGTTTCGGCAGGGTACCGCGTAAACGTGGAAACGCGTAATGTGGGACCGCGTAAAGTGAGGGTTGACTGTATCTGCGGGTCTCCATCGTGAAGCCGTGTGGCGAGTATATGGAGGCCTGAGGGCTGTTGCTAAGGTGAGTGTCAGTGGAGACTATGTTGCAGCTTTTTAAGTAACTTGTACTGTATCAAATTTGCTATTTTTATGCTTTTAATATTGTTATTTAGTACTAGGAGTAATGTATTCAAGTGGATACAGTGCTTGCTTCTTGTTCCAGGGGTTGGTGGTTTAATTACCCTGCACTCCCAATTCACCCAGCTGTAAATGTGTATGTCAGTTTACAACTTGAGGAAGTGAATATTGTTGAGAGCAGGATAGGCCATGCTGCCTCCTTGTGTACCGAAGGCTTAATATAGTGTACTTCTTTTTTTTTTTTACAGGAATTAGCTCACCCGGGCACAGGTCGAACCACCTGCAACGGGGCCTGGTGGGCGAAAAAATAAGAACAGAAACAAATTAAAAATAGGGAAGAAAAAGGTTATACTGTATTAGTCTACACCACAAAGATGCCGGAAAACAGCCTTTTAAAGTGAGACAGATTGTACAGAGGGCAGATTATTAGCCCTCACCTGTATCACTAACCACCACAGAGGCTAGCAGGGCCTCCTTGTCAAACCCCCCAAAGTTCATATCCTCACTATCACTATCACATAAAACAAAACAGGTTCCTGGGCACGAGGGAGTATATCCGGAGACGGGAGACAATGAGACTGACACAGTCAAGGTCATTGACTCATCGCCTCTGGTGGCAGGGCAAGCAAAGTTAAATAGACCAATCACTGCTCGCGGCAGAGGGGGTGCGTGGGTGGTAAGGATACGTGGCCCAATCACAGTCCGAAATGTCATCTGACGTCAGCGGCGACGTAAAAGCGACCTAGCGCCAGCTTGTCCGTGCCGCTTCCCGCATAAATTCAGGAATGTACGCTCGCAACAAAAAGTATCGGTACATACTGTAGTGTGAACAATTTGAGACCAGTGAAGATAGGTATTGGGAAAGGCGAGTTGTTCCAGCCGTATGTCGGCAGCCCTGGTCAAGTGAAACAAACCGTTATAAATAAGGTCGGGAAGTGATAAATAGACAGTATGAAATATGAGGAGCTCCCTGTTAACAAAATTATTTGTGATATTTGTGAATATTGCCACATTAATTTATGCTACCAAATAAACCACTCAACCTGGTCGTCCTGAGGGGTGGTGCAGCGTGGACAGCTGCTCCGTGACCTGTCGTCTGTAGCGCCAGTTTCGAGGTATCGCCGAATCCATCGTGCAGCGATGTTCCTGTGGACACCAACCCACTGGCTAATATCTGTGACGCCGAACCCTTCGTTATGAAGGGCAATGATAGCTCTTCGTGTTCCCTCTGAGGTTTCCATGTCGTCTGGCATGTGTAGATCTCTACTGCTTCATATTGCCTCTGTTTTATACCCATGTTCACCGAGACCGAACCCTCGCTCATCATTCAGTCGACACACAGCAACAATCCGAAAAGAGGAAACACACACTGATTGTCAGCCATATGGCAACACCTAGGGGGGGGGTTATGAGGATACACTTACCAACCTTCCCGACATATCACAGTGTATACGGATCGTTTCGGAAGTCGTCGATCGCACCCTGCACCGATATTTTTTGTTGCGAGTGTACCACATAACTAATAATTGGAGCGTCTGGATAGGTGCCTCGTAAATAACCAACCACGTATAAAAAATCCGCATAAACCGAGACTATACAGTGATCCCTCGGTTAACGAAATTTCGTTTAACGAATTACCTTCCATAAGATTCTTCACTTTTACCAACCAATGCACCCTTCTTCCTCTCCCTTCCTACCTCACAACAAACGTTATAATCTTTACTGTATTTGTGTTGAATCGATGAATTTGATACCACAATGATCCTCTATGAGATATTTCCAATATCATATCCTTAAATGACAAGCTGAATTAGAAGGTACTGGTAGAAGAATTTATTTGAAATACTCTCTAACATTTGATACCATAATATCCTGACCAGTTTTCCCTGTGATAAAGCCATAATTTTGAACAGCATATAACCATACTCATTTTGTACTATAGTAAATGTATAATGCTAAAGAACTAAAATTTTTAACACTTGTGCAATTTATGAGAAGTTTATACTAAAATTAATCACTATCTTGCAAGGACTCCGGGAATGCAAGTTATATTCTCTTCAGTCAAGCATGTGACATTTTATAAAAGAAAACTTTAAGCCTAAAACAAATTCATCCCATCAATCACTATCAACGCCGTCTGCTCCCCCACTGCTGGCTGGGAAGAGGGGGGGGGGGAGTTGTCAACAGTCAGGAGGGGAAATTAATGCTACTCAAGGATTATGAAAGGCAGGGGGTTTAATTTTTTTGCTTATGACACTGACTTGACTTAGCAGAATATAACTTGCATTACTGAAATTCTTGTAAGATAGCGATTAATTTGAGTACAGGCAAACCCCGTTTTTCATAGCCTCGGTATTCGTAACCCGTTTATCCGCAATCAATTTATTGTTACCCATTTCCACTACCGTATTCGCAATAGTTGCCCAGTTTATTCGCAAATTCTTACGAGCAAAAATTTTGAACCGCGCGCCTCAACCGTAGCGTAGGACAGCATGTGTACGCATTCCTCCGCCATACGCTCCTGCTCGCCTCAATCTCACACGTGCTGGCGTGTGTTTTGTGTGATCTCACAGTTGTGTTTTGTGTGATCTCACAGTTGTGTTTTGTGTGATCTCGCAATTGTATTTTTGTGTGATCTCGCAATGCCTAAGCGACCAGCTACTAAAACTCCCAGCAATGTTGCTAAGAGATCACGTGTGACAGTTACGTTGTACGTGAAATTGGATATCATAAAATGACATGAACACGGAGAAAGAATGTCAGTGATTGGGCGCGTGCACGGCTTGGTTCCCTCTACGGTGCATTCTATAGTTAAAAACGCCGACAAGATCAATGAGATGGCTGGGTCTGCAACACCACTGACGGCTACGAAGGCGACGAGGTTCCATGATGCTGAGAAGGAGAGTATAGAGTGGATGTTGAGCACGTGGATTGACGACCAGACCCTGAGCCTTAAAACACATGAAAGATATAACTAAAGATAAACCCAATGTACCTGAGTTCAGTGCCAGTCGTGGATGGTTTGATAGATTTAGAAAACATGCATCAATCCACAACCTAAAATTACAAGGAGAATCAGCTAGCGCCGACCATGAAGCAGCAGAGAAGTTCCAACCGTTTCTCGCAACCATAATTAAGGAGGGCGGGTACACGTACAGTCCTAAGCAAGTCTTCAAATTGGACGAGACCGGACTCTTCTGGAATAAAATGCCTTCACGGACCTACATATCTAAGGAGGAAAAGACCACACCGGGATTCAAAGTAGCCAAGGACCGCCTCACTCTATTGATTGGTGGAAATGCTGAGGGTGACCTGAAGTTAAAGCCTCTGCTTGTGTACCGGTCTGAAACACCCCCATGTTCTGAGTGGGGTTGTGAAGGGACAACTTCCCGTCGTCTGGCGTTCAAACCGTAAGGCGTGGGTGACAGGGTCTGTGATGCACGACTACATGTTCAACTATGTGTCCGGTCACATTAGTCGATATAATAAGGAAAATAATTTTGATGATAAAGCTCCAGGTCATCCACCAGCTATGGCTGACTGGTGTAAGAACATTAAAGTTGTGTTTTTGCCTCCCAACACCACAGCTTTGTTGCAACCCATGGTGTGATGGTCATAATGACATGGCTAGTCTGTTAAAACCTAATAATTCATATTACGCTCCACGCCCACAAAACCTGTAGACCTTTTGAGTCTCCCAGTTGAAACATTCGTTATCTAACCACTTCAGGAGATCTGAGTACAGTACTTTGTTTTCCATGTCGCATTACCGGAGAAACTCAAGTATACCTAAATTCCGCACAGGGTGTTCATGCATTTGAATTGGTAAAAGAACACCCTTGCTTTGAGTCAACTTAGAGATGTCTGATTGCAGATGAAGCATTCAAGATCTGTTGTGACTGATGTTGAAAGCTTCAATTGTATTTACTGTTAGTTTAATTGTTAATATAAGTCAGGGTACAGAACCACAACATTCACCACTATTGTAATCTGTATACACTATGGTAATATCCAAAAGTAGGCAATATATTAAAGTGGCTAATCATGACTGAAAACCACATTATGATTAGTGTACTAACTTGCGCTGTTCCTCATCAGTCCAGGATTGATTGAATGTCTGTGGTTTGCTTCCATCATATAATCTTCCACGTACCATAATCTTTCCATCGTCAGTAACAGGATCTTTGCTTTCCTGTAAGAAAAAATATTGGCTTTGACCTGTTAATCCTCGTCACATCTTATTTTCTTATCCCAAATTTTGCCAACCTAAATCCTAATTGCCTTTCTAGCTCATTTTTGTTAAAAATAGCGATACAGTACAGTACATTTTGGGAGGAAAATAGCATGAGAGTTAAGAAAGCCTCACAGTACATCAGCAGGAAAAACAGACTCCATAGAAAAGGTTCAGTTCAGGCACAAAATAATATAAATAAAACAGAATTTCTGAGGAGTCTAAAAATGTTACCTGGACTGGTTGCTGTGCAGTTAAGTTCTCCTGAAGGACTCTCTTCCGCGTTTTAGGTCTCATTCCTTGTGTGATGGATTTAACATTATATTTCTCCCAATCAATGTGTGGAATCTGAGAGATATGCAAATCTTAAGACACTTAAGCCAAATCATAAAACTGTATAAAAAAATTCTTGACAAAAGTTATACGGTAGTTTCATAATTCAAATATACTGGAGCAGACAAAGGAGAGTCCTGTGCAGTATTACTGAATTGAGTAAACTCCTGTATATTCGAAGGGTTACATGAATCTACTGTGAATCAAAGATATCTTAAAAATGGTACCCACAAAGCAAAATAAGCACCTAGGCCAAAAGGGATAAAAATACTGTACCAGGAAGATCAGCATTCTTGAACAATTTATTACAAATTGAAGCCATATACAGTAATATGCAGATTATGCCATAGTATAACTCCCAAAGGTTATTTTAGAACTTTTGCAACTCATACATCCACCACTCAATATCCATGAACCCTCAGCAGGCTTTCAGCCATCCATTGGTTCAGTTTAATGGTAAAACCAAATGGGTAAATTATTTTTACTGTCCAACCTTGTGTACCTACATCGTGTATTTTCACGATAAAAAATCCTATTAAATCACCATCTGTATATTAATTTTCAATTTACTCCAAAATACATAATTCTGATTTTCATAAACGTTTTTCAGTATTGTTCCAGTATTGTACTTGCACATTACCTGAATAATTTCCTGTGGACCAGGAAGATTCAAAGAATCACCATTTTGTAAAGATGTTACAAACCCCAAGGGGTCTTGGAGCGCTTCCTCTCTAGCCTCTTGAAGTCGCTCCATATCCTAATGTGAAAATATAAAGGTGAGATTTCTTATAACATACTGGGAATTTGAAAACTTGGAATTTCATATAACTCGGCATGGATATGGTCACGGAATATATTAGTATAACCCGGGAAATGCCGAGATATATAAAATTAACAAGGAAAATCTCGGAATATCTGGCCACCTGCATCACCTACTATGCCTCTGTTTCACCTACCATACCTCTGTGTCACCTACCATGCATCTGTGTCATTCTTCGCCTGCAATGCTGGTAACTGTTACTTTTTACATTTAGCAATAACAGTGATCCCTCGGTTAACGAGATTTCGGTTAATGAATTACCTTCCATAAGATTCTTAACTTCGTTTAACGAGCATTCCCTCGATTAACAAATTCCTTACGAGCGGCCCTCAACATGTTTTCGCTTGCACATTAGCTGTCGTGTGAGTCAGCCAATACAGTAATCGGTTCTAGGGCTTAAATTCCTTACCATTTTAGTAAATATCAAGAAGGTTATACTATTCAATCATTTTAAAAGTTTTATATTAAATTCTTTTGTCATTTTAACAATTATTGAACATAATTGAAGTCCAGGAAACTAGTTTTATGCGTGCCAAACAGCCTGTCAACACACCAAACAGGCGTCAGTCTCTGTGTCTTTTCAGTGGAGGTAACATCTTGCTTCAGACTCTCTTCAATATAAATGCTTTTTTTCTGTGTTTTCAGTCAAATTATTGGTCATTTTGAAATACATTTTACATGTTGATGATATATTGCGCAGTGCAGTGTTAATTTAAAGAAAATATTCTTTATTTACAGCAATTAAACTTAAAATATCACGTGTTGAAATTGTTTTTGAATCAAGCATGGGCCCCAAGAAACCTAGAAAAGCGATTTCAATTCAGATGAAACAGGAAATAATTAGAAAACATGAAGAAGGCATTAGAACAAATGTGCTAAGCAAAGAATATGGCATGTCGACAATTCTTGCACAGAACGACAAATTCAAGGAAGTGAAAGTGAGAGACAAATCTACCACAGTAGGGTGTGTCATACGGAGGCGAATTTTTTTTTTTTTTGAGTTTGAAAAATCGGCCCATGGTATTAATGATGTAGTTCTATGTGCAGAATCATGTGATATCTTCAGATTTGAAAAGTTTTCATTTTTTGCTAGGTAAATTTTAACTTGAAATCTTATGAAAATTCAGTATTCCCACCCTTTTACCAACACCACTAAATAGCTTATTTAAAGTAAAGTAAATGTATCAGGTTAATTTATTAGGATGAAAATGATCCAGAATAGTGAAACGAATGATCTTGACACATTTATTAAATTTAATATTCCTTTAGAAAACAAAATCATCAAATACAAAAACCGGTTTTACTACTACGACCCGGTGTTGCTGCACACCATAGAGAACATGTCTTTCTTGCTTCTGTTTCTACTCATCACCTCCCTGCTGACCACCTGAGCTCGGATGTAGCCTTCCTCCTCTCCTGGCTGTACACGTGACTGCTGGCCTCGCTCACTTGCTGTACACAACGCTCTATACTCTCTGGGTGTGCGAGGGCCAGGCAGGGACATGCATGGGGTTGTCCAGGAAAGCTCTGACTTGAACATTGGTGAGGCTGCAGGTAAGAGGGGGCTCACTGCCAGCCTGGATGTTATCCAGATCTATGAGATCAGTGAGGGTCTTGGCACCTAGATTGACTTCAGGAGTCTTCCTGACCCTGAAGGAATCGTCCAACTGATTCGTCATGCCCAGATCCTCTCATAAGTCTCATATCCAAGATCTTTTTGACTGCCACTCTTCTCTCCTCCTCATCCTTACTGCAGAGCATTGTCTGCAGAACTGCCTCGGGATGAGCATACCAGGAAGATCTCCTCACAGTCTGCTCCACAATCTGAACAACCTTCCTTGGCTGACTCCTCAGGAGCTCAAGCTGGAAGAGGCATGCCTCGGACCTTCGGAGACGATGACTTGACCTTGGTGAACCAATTTGGCAAGTAGACACTCACGATGAATTGGACAATAAGTCTCAGGTTATTGAAGGCTGGTTTCCTTTCGAAGTTTATGATGGGCGACCCAGGTCTACCCAGAACCTAAGAGCCGTTGTGAGCCACCTAGAATGTGAGACTGGACCTATCTGCAGGTAAGCAAGTCTATCAGGCATGACCCCAGTTTTGATGGCACTGCAAATCATGTAACCATAGTACTGGTCAGTACTCAGGTCGTCAATGACAGTATGTGCAAGCTCAACGAGTGGAGGGCCAACTGTGATTTTTCAAAGCTCGGATTTATTTCTAACTCAGTGGCAGAGTCCAGCATCTTGCCAAGAGGACCAGACCATCTGTTGTTTGAAAGAGTCTTGCCATCCAGCTCCTGGATCAGATGTCTGAGTGGCAATTCGTTGGTGTGGAGGTCACAAACAATCCAGACCAGCTTCCTCCCAATCTTCCGCTCTATCCACTGTATGACCCCCCCTTGCCACCCTGTGTTCGTGTTGGTGCTGTCCCCTACAATGGCCTGCAGGGTCTGGTCTACGTTCCTCTCTCTGAGCCAGTTCACAATGTTATCTGCCACTATCTCAGCTGTTTTCCTGATGTCATCTTTCTCTGGAGTGAAATGCCACAAATACTTCCCTCCTGGTTCACTGCAGCAGGAGTAATGTTCCTCCTTCACCATGGCAGGGAACAACTTGTCAGAATCTCCAACTTTCATGAACACTTTAGTGTCATCCCTTCTCCATCAAAAAGAACAAACGAATTGATTCCATTTCTCTTACCCTTATCAAGCTCCTCTTCCTGGAGTTACTGACAAGTTTCTCCTGAGCTCTCCTTACTTTGTTATGATCTATCACCAGGTGAACATCATCAGGTGTTATCAAACCACCGTCAATCCAGGCAGCTGTTGCTATCTCTGCAGTTTCTCTGAGACCAGTGTGGTGTCGCATGCTGGCCAGAGCTATGCTCGGGATATCTTTCCTATTTCGAATGTTATGCCTGGAAGGTTTGGGATCATTATTTTCTGGGTTAGGGACAAAGTCACCATTCTCCTGGTCAGCACTCGGATCAGCCATTGGGAAGTCATTAAACTCTGAATCAGCTTGACTCCAATCATCGGCCTTTTTTACCTCACCCTGGGCCTTCTCAAGTCTCTTTTCCTCGGCAACTCTTCTCCTCTTCTGTCTCTCTGTGGCAGCCTCCTGTCTCTTGGACTCCAGAATATCTTGGCTAGAAATCATGAGAGCCCCTATACTGCCAGTCTTCTCTCTCTGTGCTTTGACAAATGCCAGTTCGATCATAGGAATCTTCAGTTCACGCTTGCAAATACAGGAGATGTGGGCCTCGGATTTACAGTCACGATCGCATCAAACTCAGGACAAGAGAACAATTGGAGCTTGCAAGTAATTATGTCAATCTTCGGTCAGTTACTTGCTTAAAGCTGTCATAACTTTCACCGTTTTCCTCTCCCAAGAGAGATATCTCTTGCCTTTTCCCAACTGGCTAGCAGTCTCTCACTAATCTTCTTCTGACTTGTTATGACTGGAGGCTTGAACTGAGCGTTAGCCAGAGTGTACTGTGCCAAGGCAGCTTTGGTCATATCACTGGCAATGTCTTTGTTTGTGTAAGTTCTTTGGTTCTTTTCACTGATTTGCCTGATTAAAACACCGTATCTCAAAGCATCTCTCAATGTAGGCAACTCCGACTTCAGGAGCGCTCTCCCAGACCCAAGATAGTGACTGAGATGGCTGGATTTTTGGTTCCTCGTCCTGACACAAGCAGCCATCGCAAATATTATCAACTTATAAATGCATCAGAATCTGAAACAGAAAAAATATTGTTAGTTGTTAAAGAATGAAGTCAGAAAGCAATGTTCACTATTTAATTGTAATGCACTAATGCAGCTGTACGTTAGATTTTCGATAAATTTCACGCTAAAATTTACCTAGCAAAAGTTTGCAAAATATTGAAACTGAAATTATTTTCTGTTTATATACACTAAAATCTACCAAAAAAGTGATGGGCCATTAGTTTTAGCTGATCTTCCCTCCTATGACACACCCTACTACCACAGTGTTCAAAGGTAGATCCCTAATAGCAGAAACAGAGAGGTTACTTCTCATCTGGATTAGAGAAAAACAGATGAATGGCGATTCAGTTTCTACTGAATGTATTTATGAAAGAGTCAGGGAAATATATGAACATTTAAAGGTAGACCAACCTGGTTCTTCAGGCACAGACTTTGAAGATTTTAGGGCCAGCTAGGGCCGGTTCGAAAGAAAAGAAGTGACATATTTAGTGTTGTTAGGCATGGTGAGGCTGCCAGTGCTGATAAGGAAGGGCAGGCAAAGTTTTTAGTGGAATTTAAAGAACTGATGGATACAGAAAATTATTTTCCACAGCAAGTGTTAAATGTGGACGAAACTGGGCTGTTCTGGAAAAACATGCCCAAAAGAACATTCATCCCCAGAGATGAAGCGTCTTTACCTGGGCATAAACCCATGAAAGACCGTCTCACTCTATTGCTTGGTGCCAATGCTTCAGGGGATTTCTGACTGAAGCCTATGCTTGTCTACTACTCTTGAGAACCTCAGTGTGTTCAAGCAACAAAAAGTGGTAAGAGGACGGCTTGGAGTTTATTGGAAATCCAACCGTAAGGCATGGGTAACAAGACAGCACTTTAATGAATGGGCTGTTGAGGTGTTTTGCCCTTCTGTGAAGAGCTACCTAACCACCAATAAACTCCCTTTAAAGGCTCTTCTCCTTATGGATAATGCCCCTGGTCATGACCCTCAACTTGCCAGAACTTTGGAGTCTCAATTTGCCTTTGTCAAAGTGTTGTTTTAGCCTCCCAACACTACATCAATCATACAGCCAATGGATCAGAATGTGATAAGCAACTTTAAGAAGCTGCACATGAAGAGGTGTCATCAGGCAACTTCCACTGATCCTGAACTAATGCTGGCACAGTTCTGGAAGACACAGTTTAACATCCTGGAGGCTGTAAAATTGA